ACAGCGATCTGAAACCGTTTGCATCCGTAACATTGCTTGATTACTCGTTTAATAAGTTTGCGCAACCTTGGTATCAATGGGACTCTCGCACTTTGGCCATGGTTAGTCCTACTCCCCCCATGAAGAGTAATCTCATGAGCGTGTTGTACGAACTTCAGGGTGTAGAGAGCACTATCAGGAGATAGCGGGATAGTTTTCCTGGATTCTTCCACGGCACTCGAGAACCTCCTTTCAGTCTGGCTGCAGGTTAAGTCTTAACTGGTCTTCCTGGAATTGATCAGATCCCTTCCACTGTTTTTGTCTTCTTCTCCCAGAACAACCTCTGCTTGTTAATTTCCTCGGTAGTCAATGGACCTTTGATTCTCTGATTTCTTGGGATTTGCTGTTGCGCAGGAATCGCACCCACGCCCCCACTCTCAATGTGCGCCAAAAGGATGATCTTAGTAACAGTTCGTCCATAACATCGCAGCTTTCTACTGCTAAGGCAAAAATCTACTTGGAGGCTTTTCGCTTCTGCGTTAGATTCTGGGCTTGCAACCGTTTATGATGCCCGTGCCAGCTGTCTTGTTCCTTCAACCATGTTGGACCATTCCACCACAACGAAGTTATCTTCCTTTACTAGTCCTCCTCTACTTGCTAAGTCTGAAGGGTTTTCTTGGCTCGGTACATGCCTCCATGTGATTTCAGTTTTCTCTCTGATCTTGCGGACGCGTTGCTGACAAACTGCTTATATTCTCCGGAGCCCCTTATCCAGTGTAGGGCGACACTACTGTTCAGCCATGCGTACAAGGACTTAACTGGAAACCCGATCAGTGCATCTCGTACATTAGTTAGCAAGTTAGCCGCCATATGACCAGCCACTAACTCGTCTGGGAATAGTGAGACCTTCTTTAGAGGCGTGCCTTCGCTGCGGCGTAGTCCCTGCGCCACCACTGAATGTTGCTGGACCACTGCATAAACAGCTGCTGCTAATCCCTGTCCACTTGCATCGCCAAAGGCATGAAGAGTGATTTCACGGATTTCTTCTCCAGCTACAGCTAAGGACCTGGGCACTTCAACTTGATCAGGCAGGTTATTTTCCCACTTGCTCCACTTCTTTGCGATTTGTAATGGAATCTCTGCGTCCCACGCGGTCTTTTTTCCTTGCATATATCGCGATAAACAATCTTTCCTTGTAGGGTTACAGGCGAGGGCAAGACCGATGGGGTCGAGATCTTCGCAATTTTGCAAAACACACCTCTTTTGGTAGGGTCAGCAATCTCTGTAGGAAGGTTACAGCTATTTTGTCATCTTCTTTGTTCATCGCAATCCCAGAAGGCCACACGGCGCCTGATTTCTCCTAGCTGTTCTTTTAGCGTAAGTAAGCCAACTTCACTGTCAGTTGCTTGGTTAATTCTAGCTCTCTAGCGTTTCAGTTCCATTTGTGTAAAGTGAAGGTGGCTTTTTGCAAATATTTCTGTTGCAGTCTTCTTGACTTGTTGCGCCTTTTCAACTGTAGGACCGCCTGTCAGTAGGTCATCATTACAATCCTCTCTCAATCTCTGGTACTGTCTCAGGATAACAAATTTCGAGGTGATGCTGAATGGCGCCCCAAGTAGAAAGGGTGATGGGCCCAGACCAAACAAAGACGCGTAAAAAACATAGCGTCACGATACTTTCTCGGGATTCTCTCTGTCAATCCAATGAAATCTCAAGGTGTCTCTGTCTTCTTCACGGATGCGCACTTGAAGGAACGCCTTTCTAATGTCTCCTGCTATTGCTACTGCATGAAATCTTCCGCGGACCAGCACTCTCCAAATCTGGTTTTGTAAGGGCGGTCCTGTCTCTAGACACTCGTTAAGGGAAGGAGCTGTATCCTTGGCTTTAGCAGAGGCATCGTAAACAATACGCATCTTCGTGGTTGCTGCATTCTCTCTAATTACAGCCTTATGGGGAATGTAAAATTCTTTTCCTTTAGCGGGCATTTCTGCTTCCTCTACAACCCCCTCTTCAAGCTGCTCACGGATTATGGCATCATACTCTAACTTGCCGTTTCGTTTAAGTCGATGTAAAAGGGTTGCAAGGCGTTTGAGGCTACCCAACTTATTGTCTGGCAAGGGGGGATGGTTTCCTTTCCATGGGAGAGCTGTTTCGTACCACCCCTCTGGACTGCGTTTTAGTTGTTCCAGGAACTCCTGGTGCACGACTCTCTGGTCACCAATGGGCGTGTCTTCCAACCCAAGGACATCCAAGCGGCACAATTCTTCATAGTCGGCGGCTGATGTCTGTGTGAGGAACATGTTTTCAATATCCACCTCAGCACCAGAAGACATTATTGTCCAGCCGAACCTGGTTTGTTCAGCAATGGGCTCTCCAATTTCTCCTACACGTTGATAACCAGCCATCTTGATTTTTGTGTACTCATTAGCGCCAAGTATAACATGGATGGGGAGAACTTTCTTAGTGTCAGTTTCTTTCATTTGCACTCCCTTAAGATGTGAATAACGTTTCAGCATTTCTGGATAGTTAGGGTTCTCTAGCGATAAAAGTTCTCGTTGTTCAATCTTCGTAGCGCAGACTGGCAGCGTAAACCTTCCTTGAGTGTCACTGGTGTTAACATCATAAGTCTCAATGCGCTTGGTAACCAGGCCCATGATCGTCTTGATACCGCGCGTAAGGGGTCTGAGCTGGTTTAGCTTTCAAAAGATCCACCAACAAAGCTGAAATGTAGGTTCCAGTAGCGCCAGTATCGAGCAATGCGCGGCATTTGACTCCGTTGACTTTAACAACGACGACTGGATGGCAAACTTTCTCCCCCACGTGTGCGGCTGTCATTGCTGTCCCCTCACTTGATGGTTGGCTATTTCGGTCGCAGATTGAGGTGTGGTG